ATTTTTAATGTAGGTCAACACAAGGTTTGAATTTTACAAATTTGGAAATTAGTTGGATTATCAAAAATAGTAATTTGAAGCAGAGTAGAAGTTTTTTAAATAGGCAGATTTTTTTGTTTGGATGCTAGAGAGCTTAGTTTTAAAGCTATTTAAGTAAAACACAGTTTGTTATAACCGGAAGGAACAGGCCAACAACTTTGTTTAAGGGCCCAAAAGAGATTTAGAAAGTAGTTATTGAGTAAACCTCAAAAGTTTGAAGTTGTTTTTTACTTTTGTATTTTCAATAGTAAGTTGTTAGAGAGAAAGCTAAAAATTTTGAAATTAGCTGCCTAGATGTGAAATCAAGTGCTGAGTAAGTTTCTCTATAAGAAATGTGGACCAGAGTATAGTACGAGTTAGTGTCAGGAATGTTCGAGATAGCATGTGAACTGTGATGCGCAGATGCATGTTAAGTATAATAGCATGTCTCAGAATGTCACGTATTAGCACGTGTTGGTCTATGGATCATATGTGTAGGCACATATCACTAAAAATCACGTATCCTTTCGTATATATAGGCACGTTTCACACAGTAGCACATATTATATTTGCACATGTAGCCACGTTTCTCGGCATGCAATATCCAGTCGAATGTAGTGAGTAATGGCACTTGCAGTTGTTGGTATATGTTCACATGTTAATAACAAATTAAATTACTAATCTAATGACATTTATTAAGAAAACAAAAATATGTATGTAAAAAAATAAAAACAAAATTGTTTAAGAACAGTTCAATTAAATGATTATCTCTGATTTATTCATTAGAAATGTACACAACTTTTTTAAAAGTGTTACATAGTATTAAGTCATATACGAATTGATAAAAGGGCCTATTTTGCACTTTAATATATAAAATGTAAAACAAATATATGTAAAGTGTAATATGAATAAGATAAAATTATGATTTGTTGAGTTTTGTTTAATCGAATAATTTCTATTTCTACAAATAGTATATCGAGTCTTTTACATTCTTATAATTTTTGTGAGCCAGATCTAGCTTAAGCCATTGAATTTAAACCTTCATTTAATGTTATTTTCCCCTGCATCTTCAAGGTCTTCCCAAAAATTAAACAATCAGAGTATCGCAGAAAAGTTTAGGAAGCTAGACAATAATCAGGATTTAACCTATGTTAGATTCATGTGAACCTAATTTAGGTTTACTTGAACATACTGAACCTCGTTTAATTTTAATGTTTGTTAAACCCTCCCCCTTGTACAAACATAAAGAAATAATGTTAATTGAAGTTTCAAATTCAAACAACTTTATAAAAATACACTACTTACAGAAAGTTATAGTATGGCCATAATATTAATTAATTGGTTTTCATAACCCAGCTGGGTCAATATTTGAAAACTTTCAAAAAAAAATTTTTATATATTTAATAATCAGGTGGATTTTTATAAAAAAATTTTATAAAATTTTTATATTTAAAATTTAAAAAAAAAGCTGGCCAGCTAGGTCTGATTTAAAATTTCATGTTATGAAAACCAAATAATTATGTTTGTATAACCTAACCAAACTAAATGTTACTCTATATACATTCTATTATGAATATTTATGCAGGGATATTATGGTATTTTAGCATGTATTCTATGTACATTTGTGCACAAGTATATAAAAAATAGTATTTATTCTAGGTCTAAAAAATAATGTAATTTTGAACTACATATTGCATATTAAATGCTATTTAATCTTCCTTACTTATGACATAGTAATATTTTCCTACTCTTAAAAAACCTATACATCTTCATATCATTGACACATCTACAAACTCATAGTCACCAAATTCCTCAAAACTATATATTTCATATGACTCTTTCCGTATATTTTTTACATTCTTAATATATGCAAGTAATTAGTACTTTCCACAAAAGGTGTGGCAAAAATAAAATTTTACTTGACCAAAAAATTGTTTAAGCTCATATTTCTCAGGATCTTTTGGCCTAGCAACATTGACTTCTAGCTCATACTTAGAAAAGATAATAACGTTATTTGGATTTATAAAATAAAAAATTAATATTTTAAAAGAATTATCATCACACAAGCATTATCCTGAGTATTAGTTGCTACTATTATCATAAAAGAACCATGTATATAACTTTCTCTTGTACGTAATTTTGCATATTTTACTCCCCAATCTGATAACTATATAATGGGTTAGCACTATTGATAATGTAAATTTTATATATAAAAATAAACTTACTTCGATAATAGGTTCATTTAAATTAGCTTGATAAAAATTTGATAATGCTACAAACTCATCATCATTTAATTATAATTAAAGCTAGGTGCCTATAGTTCTTTTCTACTATCTTCAATTCAAATAACTTGTTGTGGGTGATAGTTTTTAGGTAGTGGTAAAGGAGAAATCTGTTTATAAATAGTTAGTACAAAGCGAAGATGATAAAATTGTTCTAGCAATAGAATATTATTCATTAAATTTTTATATAGATGTTTGCAAGATTGGATCATTGGCTGCAGCATTTCACATAGCCGTTCCATTGGGTATTGCCAATATACCCAACATGGTTCACAATTTTCAATGCATACTTGTATATGAAGCAAATAATGAAAAGTAATTTTAAAGGCTGGCAAGTGTTTTATATCATTGCCAACATATAATCTAAATATATTATTAATTTAGTAACTTATAAGTTAATATTAAAATAAATAATTATAAACATTTTATTGCATACTTAGCATATGATATAAAAAAAGCATGAAAATTGTCTCCCAAATAATATAATTGTTTATTAGAAATTATTTTTTTAGTAGTAATTTGAGCAGCTTCTACGAATAAATGCCAGTTATCTAAAAAACTATTAAATTAAAGTAATTAATAACTTTTTATTTTTTAGTGAATTTTTTTTAAAAATACCTCTTATTATGAAAACATTGTAACAAAGGCATTGAATATAAGCAGGCACAATTTGTCCAATCTTCTGCTTTAAATACATTTGAATGCTGAGAAATATTCAATAAAGATCATCCAAATTCATATGGCATTGCTTTCTTATTTGCTTCTATTATTGAACCAATATTTTTCCATACATCTTTGGATAAGGTTTGTGGATTAGTTTCAGAGTTGTTTAAAGATCTATTAGAATAAAATGACCCCGACCAATGCTTATACATTTGTTTTGTAGCACCCTCAAATATGAAATGCATTATATCTAAAGAAAAAGAAATAGGAAATTGTACAGCTTCTAATTCAAAAAGAATATTTTCACTTGTTACTTCTATAAATAATAATATTGTTAAATAATATATTAAAATATAATACAATTATATAATAATTAGGCTGTTCAAAGTTGATTAGTTGGTTAATATCAATATTTTGAGCTCATATACGAGTGAGAAAGAGGAATTTAAACCAACACATATTGTGTCATAGAATATTTGATTAATCTCAATTATATGATTTGTAAAGATTATCTAGTATGATAATTAGTTTGTTTAATTTTAGGAAGATTGTTGGTGAAGAGAGAAGAATAGCATTAACCAACTAATCAACTTTAAATGGCTTTAAACGTACCAGTTTCTCTTTGAATTCTCTTCTTATCTGATGCAGCTTTCCAAATTAAAATTTTGTTTAAATATGACTTATGATTGCGTAAAGAAAGGTTTTTTGTATCATATAATACTTTACCTTTTTTACTTGGATCCTTTAGAGGATAGTATATATGATTAACACCTGTTTCTGAATTAGACATTCCTTTTATATCACAAAATCTGCAGCCTATATATTCATTATGTCCTGTTAGATTCATTAGTTTGCTAATTGCAGGTATATCTCAACACCATACTGGTACAAAAGCACGTAAAATAAAATTTTCCTATTTTCAGCCATCCCAACATAATACACTAGCTAAATAAAATAATTATTTATAAGTTATTATAAAAAAATTATATAATTTAATATTTTTAAAAAAATACCTTCAAGCTCTTTTAATTCATTAATAATAGGATACATGAAACTATTTAAATTTTTTGGATAGTTAGGACCTGGTATTATTGCTGAAATTAATAAATTTTCATGTTTAACTCGATCTTCTAGCATAATATTATTATTAATAAACATAATTATCTAGTTGTTATCTCTTTGTTGACGAAAAATTTGATAGCCATCTAAACTTCCAGTAAGTACTAAGTCTCGTTCATCTTTTATTAACTTTTTGTGCAATAGTCTTTTGTATAATTGTCTATCAAAGATATCACCAAATATGCTAGAATTAAGTTTATAGTTTGAGTGATATTTAAATATTTTAGACCGTTGTGAATCAGCATATTGAAATTTTAGTCGAGGTATTAATGGATAATAGGCAGCTTTTTTATATGCAGATTGATTTTTTTGAAATCATATAGCTTCACATATAGGACACTTTGTTGCCTCAGTATATTCACCCGTAAATGCAATACAAGAATTAATACACATATAAACAAAGTGTATACTAATATCAACTAGCTTTTGAAAAGTTTGCTTTGTTGAATATAATGTTGGACTATTGCAGCCAAATATTTGCAAAATTTCTACGAAATTTTCATCTAATATATAAGTTTTTTTTGCTTTTAAATATAGTAGTTGTAATGCTTTAAGCATATTTGGTGATCCTAAATAAAAAAATATTATAAATTTAAATTAATTTATTATAAAATTTATATAATAAAAATTTAATATATAATTTATTATATTAATATAGTAGATAAATTTCTTACATATGTTTTATCTCTTGTATAATATTATTTTTTTGAATATTATGTTGTAAATTATTCATTTGAATTATATCATTTTCATAATTTTTTTGTTCGAAATTTTTATATTGTGAAATAATATCTTGCTCCTCATAAAAATCTTCATATTGCGAAATAATAACATCTTGCTCCTCACCAAAATCTTTATATTGCGAAGTAATATCTTGCTCCTCATAAAAATCTTCATTAATATCTTGTTCCTTATAAAAATTTGAAGTAATATCTTGCAAATTTTAATATTGCGAAGCAATATCCTGCTCTTCATAAGAATCTTTATATTGTGAAGAGGTATCTTGTTTCAATTTGTTATTTCTTTTGATTTTAAGATATGTTTTTCTAATAATAGTTCCATTTTTATCATAACAACATCTTTTTGCTTTTTTATGTTGTCATTTAGTTCTTTTATTAAGTTTTCAGTCTTGTAAACTTATTGTTAAACAAGCCTTGCATTTACAAATTATTTTTTCAAAATTGCGCTTATTAGTCATTTATTGTATAGATATTTTAACTATAACGATAACATCAAAATTTTCAAAATTTTATGTAACCTTAAAATTTTATTTATGTAATACAAAACTTAAAATAAATTTATTATTATTTATTATTATCAATTAACACTAATTTAATAATATAATAGGGCAAAGCCTAAGTTTTTCTGGGTTATCTTTGAGTTAAAATTAAAAAGTACTATATTAGGTATGATTTACATCAATAATGTTCCGAATTATATTAGAATATAAATCAATATAAATAATTTAAAGATCTGTATAAATATTAATTTTTCGTATTTTTGGCGTTTACAAATTTTAGATTTTACTTTTTTTTTTTTACAATGACAAATTTATCTTCAATATCTTATTCTTACTTATCTCAAAAAATTATAGGTTCTAAAGCTCCTTCTGAAGAAACATTAGATACATTATTAGATCAACAAAAAGTAGAAGTTTTAAAATTATGTTATAATTCACAACGAAAATTGCTTAATAAGTTACTTGAAGAAAAGAGAATAGAGCAAGCTATTCTAGAAATACCTACTATTTAACCACCTAAACGCAATAAGAATCAGTTATCAAAAGTAAAACTTTGGGAGCTTTGCCTTTAGTTACTGAAAACTTATTTTGCAAAAATTAAAGCTGATTTTATACTACATATTGAAGCAAATCAAATTGTTGAGTCAAAAACATAGTCACAATTAGGATACACTGCTAGAGAAAGTTGGATCGAAGATGTAAGATTATTATAATTATATTTTATCTTAATATTTAATTTTAAACTAGGCAAAGTTGATTTTTTAAGTTAACGTTAATCTTTTGAGCTCAAATATAAGAGGAAAGGGAGAGAATTTTAAATATTATATATTATATCGTTAAGTATTCAACAAAAATTATTGGTTAATTTAAATTATATCACTAGTGAAGTTCATCAAGTATTATGATTAGCTTGTTTAATTTTGAAAGAATAGTTAATAGAGCAGAAGAGAATAACGTTAACCTAAAAATCAATATTAAGGTTTTAAAAATTAGTGAATACAAATCTTATATTTTAATATTTATAATTTAATTTATTTTTATGTATATAACAAACATAAGATTCAAATTGGTTCTAATAAATAGATTGTATAAGAATGCCTTAAGTAAAAATTAATGGATAGAGGTAAAAATTCTAAAATATTAATAATTTTATATAGTAATAAATATCTTACTAATATTTAAGTATAATTTTATTTATTAATAGCTGATAATTTTCGAAGAAAAACCAACAAAAAACAAAATATAATTTTTTTTTTTTTTTTTTTTTTTTTTTTATTAAATAATGTCATAATCGAAACTTTATTTTCAAAAAAATTAGAACATAAGTTCTATATTAAAGATTTCAAAACTACATTTGTGTTACATAAG